TCAGGGGGAAAAAAAAAATAACTCAAAAATCTGCAGTATTTCTTATATAGTAGACATTTGTTGTTGTTATGTGCCATTGAGTCAGACCCGACTCATAGCGACCCCTCCTTGGGTTTCTGAGGCGGTATCACCAGGGAAGTATATTGCCCAGTCTTCCTTCCGTGGAGTGGGTAGTGGGTTTGAACTGCCAGCTTTCTGGTCAGCAGTCAGGTGCCTTATGCACTAGGCTACCAGTAGACATTTAGCGGCATTTAATTAAAGTGAAACAGGTTAAATAAATTAGTGAACCATACGTGGAACACTTATTTTCGTTACTTGCTGTCAAGGCAATTCCAATTCACAGACCCCTTGTGTACAGAGCAAAACTGTCTTCCAAGGTGCCTTGGGAAAGTCCCAAGCACCAACCTCTCAGCTAGTAATTGAGCATTTAACCATTTACGGCATGCACAGACCACTACTCAGCCATTAAAAAGAGTAAGGTAGACTTTTATGTGTTGATGTGTATTAAGAAACATAAAAGATGAGCCTGGAGACTCTTGTAGTACCAGAAAGCAAGAAAGCACTCAACAACAACAAAAAAGAGAAAGCATTTCAAATGGGCACAGGAACCAACTGAAAAGCTCCCAATGGCTAAAGCTAGAACAATTTGATCAACAAAATAGGAGTATTGGATTGTAACACAAAGTATTAATTAAATATCCATGAGTTCATACTAATATAATTAATTAATTGAGAGGAAAAAGACAAATCCCTAATGCAGAATTCCAAATAAGTTACGAAGATACTCCTCTACCACCAAGTAGAGGGAGTGTGTGTGTATATATGTGTGTGTGTGTATAGATATTATATATTCCTTTGTGTGGCCTGTGCATAGTGACTTCCTTCCAAAGAGTACCAAATAATTTTATAGTGGAGAAACTAACAAGCACTACTTCAGACAAGTGATCAAGATCAACAACAAAAGTGATAAATCATGTAGACAGTATGTATATGTGACATGAAGTGATGAAAATAGTACTTTACCCCGTAATTATCATCCCCAAATCCCTAAACCTCAGCCTAATCCTGAGAAAAACATCAGACACATCCCAATAGAGGATCAACCTGAGAGTCCAGTACTCCTCAGAACTGTAGTGTTCATCAAAAACAAGGAAAGTCTGTGAAATTCTCACAGCCAAGAGGAATAAGCCTAAGGATACATGACAAGTAAATGTAATGTGGTATTCTGGATGGGATTCTGGAACAGAGTAAGGACATTAGGCAGAAATGTAGCATTTATTAATAACTACAGACTTTGGTGCTAAGGTTAAAGAATTGGACTGCTAATCAAAACATCAGTGGTTCGAACCCAATAGGGGCTATGGAAGAAAGATGAGGCAGTCTGCTTCTATAAAGATTACATCCTTGTAAACCCTAGGGGCAGTTCTACTCTGTCCTACAGCATCACTAGGAGTTGGAATAGACTTCAGGGCAGTGGGTCTTGGTTTTTTAGGTATACTTTAGTTAATAAAGTATGAGTACTGGTTCATTAATTGTAACAAATGTACCATGTCAATTAGGTGCTATTAAGTCAATTCCTACTCACAGCCGATGCACACTGACCTACCTACAATAGATTGAAACACTACACGGTCCTGTGCCATCCTCACAATCATTGCTACTTTTGAGCCTATTGCTACAGCCAACTGTGTCATCTAGCTCACTGAGGGTCCTGCTCTATGTTGATCCTCTACTTTACCAAGCATGATGTCCTTATCCAGGGACTGGTCTCCTGGTAACATGTCCAAAGTATGTGAGACAAAGCCTGACCATCCTTGTTTCTAAGAAGCACTCTGGCTGTACTTCTTTGAAGATAAATTTATTTGCTCTTCTGGTTGTAGTGTTGTCACCTAGTAAGTCAGCTAACCTTACGTAAAACAGAATGAAACACTGCCCAGTCCTACATCATCCTCACAATCATTCATTGCTATGTTTTAGCCTACTGTTAACAGCCACCGTATTAGTCCATCTTGTTGAGGGTCTTCTTCTCTTTCACTGACCCTCTACTTTACCAAGCATGATGTCCCTCCTGATGACACATCCAAAGTACATGAGATGAAGTCTCTCCATCCTCACTTCTAAGGAGCACTCTGGCTGTACTTTTACAAAGACAGATTTGTTTGTTCTTCTGGTAGTCCATGGTATATTCAATATTCTTTGCCAGTATCCTGCTTTAAATGCATCAATTCTTATTCATTCTTTCTTATTCACTGTCCAGCTTTCACATGCACTTGAGGTGATTGAAAACATCATGGCTTGGGGCACCTTAGTCCTCAAGGTGGTATCTTTGCTTTTTAACACTTTTAACACTCCTCGGAAAGACTGGGTGATCTACTTCTATAGTGATACCTCCTCGGAAGGAAGACTGGGTGATCTACTTCTATAATGATTACCACCTCAGAAACCCAAGGAGGGGTCGCTATGATTCAATCTGACCATGGCACTGAGTTTTGTTTTTTTGCAGCACATTTGCCCAATGCAAAACATAGCTTGATTTCCTGACTCCTGCTTCCACTGGTATTGATTATGAATCCAAGTAAAATGAAATCACTGACAACTTTGATCTCTTCTCTTTATCATGATGTTGCCTACTGGTTTTTGTTTTATATTGAGGTGTAATCCATTCTGAAGGCTGAAGTCTGAGCTTCATGTTAAAAGACTGAAGTCTTCCTTACTTTCACCGAGCAAGGTTGTGTCATGTGCATACTACAGATTGTTAATGAGTCTTCCTCCAATCCTGATGTCACATTCTTCTTCATATAGTTCAGTTTCTTCATATGGTTCAGCTTCTCAGATAATTAGCTCAGCATGCAGACTAAACAAATACAGTGAAAGTATATAATCCTAACACACATTTTTTTTTTTTATTTTAAACCTCTTTTTCTGATTTTATCCTCTTTTTCTGTTCGAACAGTTGCCTCTTGGTCTATGTACAGGTTCCTCATGAGCACAATTAAACGTTCTGGAATTCCCATTCTTTGCAATGTTATCCATAATATGTTTTGATCCACATATTCAAATGCCTTTCCAATAAAACATAGGTAAACATCTTTCTGGTATTCTTTGCTTTCAACCAAGATCCATCTGACATCAACAATAATATCCCTTGGTCATCTTCTGAATCAGCTTCAATTTCTGGCAGTTCACTGTTTAAATTATCTTCAGCAAAATTTTACTTACTTGCAATATTAATGATAATTGTTTGGTAATTTCCACATTCTGCTGGATCACCTTTTTTTGGAATGGGCATAAATATGGGTCTTTTCCAGCTGGTTGGCCAGGAAATTTCTTGGTTTTGCTGTGTGAGCACTTTTAGCACTGCATCCATTTGCTGAAAAATCTCAGTTGGTATCCCGTCAACTTCTAGAGCCTTGTTTTTTGACAATGTCGTCAATGCAGCTCAGACTTTTCTTTCAAAGCCCTAGCTTCTTGATATGCTATATCCTGAAATGGTTGAATGCAGACCAATTCTGTTTGGTACAGTGACTATGTATTTCTTCCACCTTCTCTTAATGCCTCTTGTGTCATTCAATATCTAGTCCATAAAAACCACTATCAGGGAGTTGATTCTGACTCATAGTGACCCTGTAGGGCAGAGAAGAACTGTCCCATCAGGAAGGGGACTATTACATCTTTCTCGCTTGTGTGTTTGAACCATTTACTTGCTGGTTGGCAGTCAAGTGCTTTAACCATTGCACCACCAGGACATTTTACCCATAGAATCCTTCCATATTGCAACTTGAGGCTTCATTTTTTTCTCTCCCATTCTTTCAGCTTGAGAAATGCCCAGCATGTTCGTCCCTTGTGATTTTCTAACTCTAGGTCTACACATTTCATTATAAGACCTTACTTCGAATTACTATTACTTTCCCTATAACCATTGTTTTTGTGTTGCTGCACTCAAACGACAAATTCCAAGTTTACTTCATTTTACTTTCGGTTAAAACACTTAGCTGCTCAACAAAATGTGGGAGGTTCCAGTCGTTCCACAGGATAAAGATGAAGCAGTGTGTTACCACAAAAATGTACAGCCTTGGAAAAACCCTATGAGGCAATTCCACTCTGTCCTATTGGGAGCTATGAGTTTGAACTGACTACAGCAGTGAGTTTGATTATTTTAGGAGTAGGAGGAGAAGACATTAAAGAAAGATTAAGATCTTAAACTACCATGTTAATTTAACAAGCTCTTCTATGAATTACCAACTGGCAATCAAAAATCTGTTGACTAACTATGATGGTCAGATGTCAGTAACAGTTATCATAGGATATTACAGCTAAAAAAAGACCTCTTTCCCTAGTAAAACATCATGCTTGATGTCCACCATCGGATAAGAACACAATAAAAACATAAACTAAGGAACCTAATTATAGTCAACAAGGCATGCTTTCCCTTGGCCGCGCCTGCGTAATCTCAGCAGAGGCATAAACTTGGGGGGGGGGGGG